TTTGCAAAGCGCAATCACAAGAATGTCTCCTGAAAATACATAAGCTTATTTATGATCCCAGAGAATTCAACTGCTCAGAATCTGGTACAGTATACAATTTTAAATACAGTATTTAAAAGAATCAAGCATCATACAAAAATGTTCTGGTAATGAACAGGAAAAAAAAGAGAGGGTACGTCATACGCAGGTATACAATTTTTAAAAGTTTCAGTTTCTTTTAGTTTTCTCTTCTAAGTTCAATTTTAATAACGTTTGATCCCAATGAAAACAATTTAAAACCAATGTGAGTTGAACTGAACTCCACTCAATATTCGGATTCTGATACGTTTCCTGTTCAAAATACAGAAAAATCCTGTTACAAGGACCTGGGGGAAAAATTACTCATGGTTTTGAATGAATTTCGGACTGAAAGTTTGCGGGAAATTTGAGAAGTAAATACTGCGAAGAGCTTCTGCAACAAATGATAAAAATAGGAAATATTTACAAAAATCTCCAAATCTCTTCTAAAAAAAATTTCCAAGAACATTTTCCAAAAAACTTCTCTTTACGTTGAACACTCTGAGTTTCAAATTTTATGATAATGCGCTGATCATGAAAAAATGAAATTAAACAAAAGTAACTTCGGTACTAAGGAAGTACTGCACTTCCCCCAAAAGTCAAGCATTCCTTCACACCTCCATGGTCTTTGTAATTTGGCGAAATAATTTTCAATGTATTCATTAATTTCGGAAAAGAGACAATTTCTGAAGTACAGCATCTCATACGAAGCTTTAAAAAATCACAGCAAAAAACTGCAGCAAAACTAAATTGGCAGCTTCATTTTTCTGCTTTTTGCAAAGCACTCGACGGAAGTTTATTTTAATAAATCTTTTTTTTTAAATGAACAGAAAACCCACATGTTGCGGCTCATCCGGGGTATTCATCATCAAGCACCGGCCTTCCGGAAAAAACCTGAGGAACCTGTAATACTTGACCTCGTACCAAGGCCTGTAAAATCGGTCCTGAAAGGAATTCTCCCCGTGGCGTATGTAAGACACTCTGTTGATGTAGCACCCGTGGAAATAAGGGTGTGGGA